TAGTACTATACGTAAGTTATTATAATATATATATATATATATATATATATATTATATATGTGGCCTATCATATCTACTCTCATGGCAAAGGTTTAGGCTATAACTTATGTAAACGTGTTTTGCCGATTTCTTATTGTCTTAACATGTCTTCTCGAGATCTTCTATAGGATTATGTAAATCATCTTTTGATCACTTTGCCCTTTACCGTTTTTTTAATCACTGTTCTTGACATAAACAACTGATAATGATACCTTCCTCCTCCTGCTCGTGGTCGGAGTTGTCCTTACTGGGCAGAAATGACGCTGACTCCGGGTCGGTCCCGTCCTTCTTCGGCACTTTTTCGAACAGCGAGTTTAGGAGCGCCATGTCGGGGAGGGGGGCGCGCTGAGGACACAAATGAAGGTCAAATCGTGATGAAGGGACAAAAAATAATCTCTACCTATAACCCTTACACGCTTGTCATCATACTGTCCTTGGTTCTCGACTTAAGTGACCTTGTCGAATATACAAATATAACGGGATCATAAAGCTCGCCATATTGGGGAGGGGGGCACAGGAAATTTACCAATTCAATATAGGTAAAAGGGATTATGACGTAGGGACTGCTGGATCCGGATCACTGTTTAACGATTGAATTCACCTGAGGCACGGCCTCATAGTCTCTACCAGACTTACAACTCTGGCTATATATAGGAAAATATTTGCCGGGGTAGTTTTGCCGCCTTGGGGTTTGACTGTGCCGCGCAGTTAGGCTGTGGAAACTCGGTGTGATGAAAGGCAATAAAACTAATCCGCTCATTTTCTGTACAACGGGATTAGCTCGGAGGGAAAGAAACTACCTCCCCGCGGCCGGACTCCCTTGGCCCATTTGATTCTCTTTTTTGCCGAATTCTACGATCCGTATTCCCGTAGAAAGGCCTGGTGGAGGCTAACGGCCCCATCTGTTTCTGGTTAAATTTCTTATTTCAGCGGCATTTACGCCCTTTTCATTAGGATCCTGCGGCCTAGTTGGGGAGAGGGACACAGGTCGGCTGAACACCAAACGAAGGTCAGATGTATAGAGCTTATTCACCACGCGTCATCATGACGTCATGACCCCTCATGTCCCGTGCGACGCCATTTTGGGGCTCATCTGTACAGCGAGTTTCCAAGCGTTGAAATGGCCGACAAACGTTAGGTAAACTGTCCTTTGTCCGACTACACGACCACTCATACCTCTCGTTACTGGAACAAAATAAAATTTGTTGGGATTGACCCGTTTTTGTTGAGTTTTGATCAGTCTTATCGAGACCGCCTACCGCCAGCGGAGTCCATTGACGTGACTTAGCTTCGTAATTGGTACTGTGCAGAAGTTTTTACACACAACATCGTTTCAAACCCTCTAAGAGTCTGGAGGCGTTGTATCAGGATGTGTAAAAAGTGTTGTGGGACAGTTGCGTGATGACAATTAAGTACGTTGTAGTCGGGAAACGCAAAAGGTCGCTATTTTCGAACAGCCACGGACTGTGTCTGGATAAACAACACGGAGCAAAGGCTGCGGGGGCCATCGGCCGCCATCCTCAGTCCGCGCTGCCGCGACTGTGGCTGGACAAGGTGAGTGTTGCAAGTTGTCAGTGCCCTGTTCTACATGGACATTTACCACAGAGTAAAGGGACAAGTAGCTCCAACAGATTTACCGTGTTCATGGCTACCCATGTTCTACAGCCCCCTACGCCGCGCCAGGGTAAAACACACCGATTTCTGATCAGCAAAAAAAAACAACAACATAAAAGCCAATCTTGACAACATGAGACGTGGACGCGGAGCCAAAACAACCCCAAGGACAATGTTACTAACAAGAAGAGTGTCCAAAACGTTGATTGTGGCCCAAAATACGCAACTATCGCCAAGAGTTTGCATAGCATTGCATAGCGATAGGCACTACGCTGGACCCCAAAATGGTGGACGCCAGGGGGAGAGTCACGTGACAATCTGTGGTGAATAAGCCCTATATTGTATTGTCTCTAAAGCAATGGATCGTTGCTGTTTGTTGACAGAAAATGAAGAGTTTATATTTTCTTATCAGACAAAACGTGTCATATTACAGAGGATCAAGATGTGGTATGTTGGTCGGGAGGGAATCATGTGACTATCAACGCACCAATAGTTATATCGAGAAGGTATATGTGGGTGTATTAGATTAATTTATAGAAACATATAACAATGTATAACAATGTATGAATTCAAAATGCTGAAGGGCTGTCGCTCCCCTCAGGACATATGGGAATAAAAGTTTTTTTTTTTTTCATTTATTCAGAAACACAATGAGAATTACAAATGAAAAGACATGGACTAAGTGACTGCGAACTCAAGTTAGGTACAACTTATATTCTCGCAGCCACTTTTACAATGAAAGAAAAATATTTTACAAGACATTTCAAACCTCCCATCCCAGAAGACACATACAGTTAGAATCTTTTTGTTTCTAATATATAATTTTGTGCGGCTAACATTATTTTGCAGTTGGTATCATGCGAACAAAGGAAACTACCGCGAAGAACTAAATATTGTATGGAATTATCAGAAAGGGTGTTTAAATCAACAATATTACCAAGTATGCTTGAAAGCTTGCCAAAAAGGACTAAGCGCTGGTAGGTTTTTATAGGGCAGTGCAATAAATAATGAGCAATCGTTTCATATGGACACCCGCAGCTACAGGATGGACTTGTAACAAGACCTCGGGTATAAAGACTGTGATTCAAGCTGCAGGTGCCCAGACGAAGTCGGGTAATGAGAATACAGGAATAACGAGAACCAAAGCTAAAATAGTTTAACTTTACAGGACGTACCGATTTGAAAAGATTTGAACGAAATTTGAATAAAAGTTGCAGTTTGATCACAATGACGGCAACAACTTGAGTATGTAACGTTATCTCCAAATCAGCTCATACACCACTAAAACCCCCAAAAGGTGTTTTGAAGACGCCAGCGTTTTTTACAGTGTCACTGAGTCTACAGTTTGAAGCAAAACAGTTTATTTAATGAATGACATACCGCAAATAACGTGTAAAACCTCCCGAGGTGTGTGTAATTAACGCCCTGTGTAACTGTAGACACGGTAACCTACATTACTTATAACACGAATTACTAACACTAAAGCAAGTCGAACAGCAGTTTATCCAATGAGTTCAAATCCTTTAACAGATATTTTCACTCATGGGACACAGGCGCCTTTAACGTTGTATACTAGGATAACAGAAGTGGTGAATACACCAGTACTTAAGATACAATAAAAATCGCGACATAATTCTGGCCAGGTGTGTTACCTGCTGTTTTACCTGTTCTGTCTCCACCTGGACGATGTCTTCTCCTTAAGGACGGTAAAAATGACTCTTGAGACCACTCGTCTTCTGGAATCGACCTTTTCTCACGTGATTCCTTTCGAAACTGTAAAGGTCTCACCTTCAGGTACACCCGAGCAGGGGACAAACACTTACTAGTATTTTCTGGGACACCTGCTGTAAGGGGGATGGTTAAAGTTCAGAACAGGTTTGACTGGTCAAACCAGAATTTTATGTTAATGTTGTTTTCTCTTGTGGTACGTAGAGGTGCACCATTGTTTCATAGCAGGCAGGAAGTTATGCGTGACTGGCTTTAAAAATTATTTCTTGCAAAGACATACATAACACAGCAAATTGGAAGTTTTTTTGCAGCCTACAGGCTAAATTAAGCAGCTTTTAGGATAACTAGTGTACACAACTGATTATGTATTGCTCAGCATATACAGTACATAACATCGCCTTTTTACTGGAATAGATGCTACTTGGTGCAGATTTTATGTTATAATTTATAACAATTACATTAATATGTCATTCTTGTAAGCCAATCATCATGGTCTAACTCTACTAGTAATCCACAGTTCAATTTCTAAGATTTTTGCCATCTCCTGTTTTTCTGTACTCTGCCCTTTTTGTGAGCAAGCAACCGTAGAGAGTACAGAGGAAAATGTACTGAGACAATACCATCCGGTAAGCATATGGAATACATTTTGTTACGTCCATCACGGTCAATGTTCTAAAAATGTATTCAAATTGAGTTAATAAAACAATGCCTTTGTAATTAATAAAGCACCCCCCCCCCAAAAAAAATGCAAAAGCTTAATCCTTCATGGAAGTATGAGATCTATAGATTCTTGTTTACGAGGGAAGAGGCGGTCCTTTACTTCGCCGCTTGCCACTCCTAAACTACATGATTATGTACTTATCACATGACTACTAGTTTTTCAGAGAAGGTAGTACTGTTAAGCACGTCGGCAGAACGTACTGTACTGTTAGACGATAAAGAAGAGACACGTTGATTCTGACAGATAATCTGGATTAAACTGGTTTTATTCAAAAACTCTGCTGGAACAGGATCAGCTGTTCGAACACCGGTGGTCTCGTCTGTTAAGTACGTTTATAATTACTTCTACAGCAACATTACAATCGTTCTCAATGTCCTCATGGAACATGCATGATTACCCTACTATTCATTCGTTTGTGAAGGTTGGACATTCATGAAAACAATACACAGCAATTCAAACTCCAAAAAATATGGAGACTGTACTTCTGGAAGTTTCGAGTGGCATCCACCACTCTTCTTCAGCGTCACTAATGAACTAACAGAACTAGTCAGCACTTGTATGAGCGACTGGAAAACCCGGTTGACCATGACAAAGACTCGTGATTGTCATTGAAATGTAGTTCCTTTGGTAAGGCTACTGTCCCTTGGCTGAAGGTAGGGCGGGGTGCAATATATCCGAGACTTCTACGTGCTGTCCCTCCTTTTCTAACCGTTAATTGGCTCAAAAATGGTCTTCTTATTTCTGCGTTTAAACCACCGTGTCTGTTGTCTCCAGTCTGAAGGAATGTCCTTGATAATGAGCACTGTGTATGATGGTAAATGGCAAATGACAGAGGTGTAGCCGCCTGCGGTAGCTCTGCAATGTTGTTTGTTCCTTTCTACAGCGGTTGACTGATGGTTGCCCCAATGTAGGTGTCGTTGTTGTCTTCAAACTTCAGTCTGTGGATGACCTCTACATTGATTTGATTTTCATAGCTTTCTGCACGCTGGTTCTTTCTCAACGGCAAGAAGTTTGATGCTGAAGCTTCGCAGTCTCTCGGACACTCCCCAATGTAGAGGCCGGCGATGTCTGGTGTTTTCCTCCCGGCAAATGGTTTGTCTCTCGATCTCATGGACTGGCCTGATGTTCAATGTCTTAGCCTTGTACCCACATTCGCTGAGGATGCTCTACAGGTGCGTGAGCTCTGTGAATTAGACCTCCTCTGATGTGATGATGATGTTTGCAATGTGCAATGTGCAAAAAGGTCTCCGTCACGACCGGCCTT